CCCTCCAATAATTAGATTCTATATATGGAAAAATTATACATGTATTATAATTTTCCAAGTATAGAATCTAATTATTGGAGGTTTGCCCTAAATTTGTCCCTCTGACACTGCAACAGCCCCTTTGTCCTCTGCCCCACCACTCCCAACTTTTCTTCTGCATCCCTATCCTCCCCTCCCTTTACTGCCAGACTCTGGTCTTCTGAGCACATGGAAGCAAGGAGAAAATTTGAAAACATTGACCTTGAAATAAACTCATCTGTACTAATTTTCATAGAGTACCCAAGACTTTTTTCATGCAGAATTGATGAGTTTTACCTTTTTTGAAACCTGCAAGTTTCAGCACAGGTCCCCCATGAACACAATTAAGCAACACTTTTACATCTACTTACATATAGTGCAAACTATGCATGATACTAGCCCAAAGCTAAAAAGTTAAAAAAGGAATTTAAAAAATCATGGAAGATAGATCTATTAATAGCCATTGAACAGAATGGTTGGTGATATTTCCTCTGGCACCCCTAAACCAATAATGGTGGGGACTAAAAAATAGGGGAGAGATGACTCTAGATATGATCCAGTTCAAAATTATTCCCTAAAGCATCCACTTCTGCTACCAACAGAGACAGCATATTCAGCTAGATGGACCACTTGTCTGACCCAGTATGGCACTTCTTATGTTTTAAGGTATAACTGGTCAGCAGTGCATGCTAGGCAGTACTGCATCCTCTACACCCTGCCTGTTCCCTGTAGTGACTCTAGTTCCAGCAATGGGGAAGGCAGAGCAGCAGCAATGGTGCAGAAACAGCAGGTGGAGATTCACTGCTGCTGTAGGAAACATCACTTCCACATGCGTGTCAAGCAGCCAAAAGAACATTTTTAACAGCAAAAAAAAGGTTGTGATCTCCCCTGGCAGCAATCAACTCCCAGCTGCTGCTGTATGTGCCATTGCTGCTTCTCTGTCCTCCCTTCTGCTGGAGTGGGAGCTGTGGGATGCTGAGGGCAGGGACAGACAGGTAGCACAAGGGCTCGTGCCCTGATCACCTGCCCATCATTATATTTTTGTGCAAAGCCTACAACTAACAGTCAAGTTGTACACAATCTGTTACATAGTGAGAAAATTGGTTATAATTTTTAGCAGAGACAAGTAAGGCAAGACAGGAAGAAACAAACAACACAGGAGATGATAATGAAAGAAGTTTCTAAGGACATATTTGAAGAAAGAGAGTGAGAACACAGAGTTAACTCCTAGCCCCACTGAAGTCGATGACAAAAAATTCACTAATTTCAAGCGTCAAGATTTCACCCACAGTGACCAGGAAAAAGGGATACTGTTCTAAACAGGTGCAATGAGAAAAGAAAAACTGAAACGGGAATAGAATAAAAAGATGAAGGGAACAACAAAGAGAAAAGTATATGCAGGTGCAGCAAAGGGCAACAGTGGTGATATAAAATTAAGGCCTTCTCTACAAGTTAAACCCAGCTACACATTCAACCAATTAATGGTGTGATAAAACAAGCAATAAGCCATAAAGTTATTGCACAATAATTCTGTAATAACTTGGTAGCTTGTTCTAATCACATCATTAATTAAAGGTGTGGCCAAGTGCTGGAAGCCCCACCAAATGAGATGCTCCCAGCCACAGGGGTGCATGACCCACTGCAAGCTCCACTATTGACAAGACTCACAGTGGTGGCGGCATTCCCATCAAGGCAGCAGGGAAAACATGTAGAGGCTCCAACTAACACTAAAAAATAAGAAAGCCAGCTCTGATGCCATCCCAGGGCAAGGCTAAGACCATTATTAGCTGATTGGCATCCCAGCCCCAAGACCCTACTGGAGAGCTGAACCAGCACACGTCTAAGTGGGGGGAAAGGTGGGCAGGTGCTCCCAGGTACTGAAGGGCCCAAGAATTCCTGGGACATGTGTGATCGAGACCCTGAAGCCCTGGGAGCACCTGCCCGGGGCAACTGGAGAGCATGGGCAGTTCCAGGCTGCTCATACCTTAAAACAAACAGGCATCTACTAGGGCTGTGCGAAACTTCAGTAGCTGATTCAATTCAGAGGAGATATGGCCCAATTGGGAGACCAAATCTCTGAATTCAAATTGAATCAGGAGACCAACTAAAAGCTCTGAATCCATTTGGAAAAAAATTTGGAAAAGATTTAGCGATTCAGCCACAGACTAAACAAGGCAGCTGACAGTTGCTTCCAGCTGGTTAATCTGTTGGGGTTGGGGGAGGGAGGAGGGAAGGGGCGTGGGAGAAAGAGAGATTGGGGCTAGGACAAGCTGCCCAGTCAGGGCAGGGGGCACAATACTCGGGGAGGGGGGGCGAGGGATGTGGGTGCAGCAGTGTTGGGAGTGGGGGCTCTGCCCTGCTGTCACTTGCCCAGTGGGCAGAGGGGGCGGGATGCAGGCGCAGCTCATTCCCGGCGGAAGGGGGCAAGTGGCAGCATGGCATGGCCTCTGCTCCCAGTGCTGCCATGCCTGCATCTGGTGCCCTCCACGCCAGCTGGCAAGTGGAGCAATGGCAGACCCCTGCTCCCAGCACTGACCAAGGTGTGGCAGGGCTATGCCCTGCTGCCGCCGGAGCAAGCCGTGCCTGCATCGTGCCCCAGTGCACCAGTTGGGCAAGCAACAGCAGGGCAGAGCCCCCACAGCTCCCACCACTGGGGCAGAGGCAGGCACAGCTGGAGGAGCCTTGGGAGAAGCCCCCACAGCTGCCTTGCCTGGCCCCATCCTCCACCCAGCCCACCCCCCTCCCAGCACTTAAAACAAAAATAACACCCTGCATTCACTGGCTGCAGGAGCAGCGATTGGGTCCCCTGGGTGCTTGTGGCAGAGCACTCACCCCATGCAGCACAGGGCAGTGGGGGGCAGCAGGGATCATCCCCCTGTGCAGCACCCGCACAGCAGCTGCCCCATGGCACAGGTGCAGCATGGCTCAGCAGGGTGCCGCACACTGTCTGGGAGCAGTTAGCCAAAGCCTGGCAGCACTCAGCCTCAGTGACCCCAGCTCCCAGACAACATGTGGCACCCTATCGAGGCATGCTGCACCCGCATGATGCAACAGCTGCCATATGGGTGCCAAGTGGGGGGGTCTATCCCCACTGCCCCACGCTGCACAGGGGGGCTCTGTCACAAGCACCCAGAGGCCCCAATTGCCACTCCTGAAGCCAGTGAGTATGGGGTTTTTTTTCTTTTTTTTTTAGTGCCTGGACTAGGCTGGGGCCAGGTGGGAGAAGGGGCCACGCAGGGCAGCCATGAGGGCTTCTCCTGCGCCTCTCCCTGGCCAATCCAAATCACCAATCTCTCCAAATCAGCACTGAATCTCCCAAAGTTGATTCAGTCGAATTGATTCAGGACAGTATTCCAAATCTCTTAATCGAATCACTGTTCTCTGAATTGGCTGAATCTGAATTGAATGCTTTGCTATTCACACAGGTCTAGCATTTACCACTAAACAATGGAACAAACCGATACTTCACAGCCACAATTTTAGGCATCTGTCAAATGATAAGGGGCACTGACATCTGTTTGCTTGGCCTTTATACCAGCATAACATTTATTTTGGTGGCATAAAGACAACATCTGTTTCCACCCATAGCGGTTTTCTGAGTGAGCAACTTTGTCTCATCTGTTCTAAGTAATGACCAAAATGCTACCTTTATTGTAAATGATGTCATCTTCACCAATAAAACCAATGATTCCAAGTTATCTATTTTAACCAAAGCTTTTAAAACCAGAATCAAGTATTCATATAAAAGGCCTCATACTATAAGATTTTAAGTACTATTTTGAGGACAAAAAGAACAGCAGTTTTCCATTTAAAGATAAGTCCATTTACATTATAATTTTAAAAAATTGAAGAAATTCTTCTTAATCACACACACATCTTGATTTAAGCACAAAAACAGAAAGCTAAGATAAATCTGCCTGTACCATAAAGTTCAAAGCCAGTTTCCAATGTCAAGTTTCTCAAAATACTGTGTTGTTCTAATTTAGGTTTTGAGGATACATCCATCTAAAAATATATATAAATAAATTTTCAATCTTAATTTATATTGATCAAAAATTTCTAAATTTCTGTCTTTTCAGCAATGTTTCCAAATATCCAGGTTGCAACAGAGTTTAGAAATTAGACAGGTTGCCAAGTGCAAATGAAAGGGAAAGTTAAGGTTCCAGTATGTTTATTTTACATCTCAATAGATTTGTTTCATTAGAACTGGTGAGCTCCAGGATTTAAGACATGATGGGAACTTGCCCAAACTGACTGCAAAGTATAGCATTACAAAAACTAAGTGGCAAGCAAGAGAATACAGTGTGTAGAGAAAAACAAAGATTACTTAGTAATGACTGAAAAAAGTATGTGAAAACTGCACAGTAAACTATTAAACAAACAATGGAAAAACTAGCTGCTGCTCTTTCTGCTAGCCTTGAACTTGGACTGTAAAATTCAAAAAGAACCTTCAAAGCAACTTCTGACATTTCTAAGTAGACCATATCCATAAAATATATTGAAATGTTTATACAGAAGGTGCTACAATGAGTGAAAAGCATCTTTACTCACCACCGAAAGATAATATTTCCATACTAGCAATTCTAGTCACTACCTCATATATTTGAAACAAAAATAAATTAAAGGATTGAAATAGATGTAATAGACTGGTTACATGAATATTTGAATGAATGTGTGAGGATACAAGCACAATGATTTAAAATTTTAAAAAATCCCCAAAATAAAGAAGAGGCCATGAATTTTTCAGGGCCCAAATAGCCCCCCACCCCCAATCATTTACCATAATCAAATCTCGTTCAAATCAGTTAAAATTTGAATTGTGACCTACACTAGATCAAACAAGGTAAGTGCCAGTACAATTCTTCTAATCTTACCACAGGGGAGAAAACATTTGGACCTTTTAACTATATAACTTCATAGTCTGAAAAGACAAAAGATTTGTTATTAAGATGATCTCAAAGTTTAAATGAACAGCTTCTTACTTGCCATCTATGAGCACTTCAGACTGTCGATTGTTCACCTGGTTATCAGTTTTATGGCGAAACTGCAACAGTAAGACATAAAAACACTCATCTTTTGATTATGGAAAATGAACATCTAGTATTTGATCAAGAAAAGCACTGAAGAACATATGTAACTTTAAGCACTGATGAAATCTCATTGAATTAAACTCTAGCCTGGCTGAAGTGAAGGAAATGTACTTAAACGGAAGAAGATATGAATGACTGGTGCCTCCCAAGACTGGGGGGACACCATTTGTAGTTGGCGGCAAGTGGGGACCACCCGCAGATGCCAGGGGCAGCTTCGGCAGAGGCCAATCTCAGAGGGGGCACATGCCCCCACCACGCATCACCTATGGGAGAAAATATCACTTGTTGATTTTATATATTCATGACAAAGATATACTTCATTAAATTAATGTTCAGTAGTTTTCTCTTTAAAAAAAATACAGCATGTACTTGTCCACAATAATTTCATTAACACATAGTCTTAATGGAGTGTCCACAACCTTTCTGAGTGGCAGACCACCAATTCCCTGCTGTTCTAACCTTTCCCCACTTCTCAGATACTGTAGCTAATGCCAATGGGGAATGGGGAATTTGATGAAGGCACAGTGCAGGAGGCCTTAGCTGGTCACTTTAATGTAGCCCCTTTAAAGTGTCACTCTAATACAGCCACTATAAAAGAGGCCCCTTTACATTTGGTCTCCCATACCCCAACCAATCTCACAGGAATTTTGTCTTCTCTTAATTTGCTTATCCAAAATGCCCCCTGGTAACACTAAGTAATTCCTCTCATTTCTTTATGTCTCTAAAAAAAAATATTTACTGCACCTTAATTATTGCTTACAGCCTTAACATTTTTAGATAATTTAGTCTTTCCTCATAAATAAATGCATTCAACTTCAACTTATTTCTGTTGTTTTTATTCTCTAGCATTCTGAAGTAGCTGAAATTTAGTTCCAGCATTCTCTTTCTTACCACATGTCCACTCAGAAACATCAGTGTTTCTGATTATTTTTCCTCGTATGTTTTCAGCAAATTGAATTTCATTTTGATTTTTCCTGATCTTTTTTCTAGGTGAAGTCCGTTTGCATTATTCACCTCTTTGCAACTACTTTCAGCTTGGTACCAAACTGTATTTGAATTGTATTAATATGCATTTTAAGATGTGTTCAAGTTGGTTAAGATATTTAACACAACCTAATCTGTCACCAGTCTTAGACATATTTCTAGCAACCTCCACCAATTCAATACATTGCCAGTTATTAGCAATGAATTATCTGCAGCCATTTAGCCTGTTTTCAATACAAACAGAATTGCTAAAAAGCCAGGAAAGTTTCATTCCCTGTATTTCCTCCACCCACAGATTAACAGGATCCTTTCTTATGGCTACGGTGACCATATGTCCCAGTTTAGCTGCGACAATCCCGAATTTCAGAAGCTGGTTCTGGCCAGTGCTGAGAATTATAATGGGCATCCTGAAAACAGTCTGGCCATAAGTCAGAATGGCATGAAACACCTCCCAGGCAGGTGGACAGGCAATGCTGCCTGCCTGGCACACCATCCTGCCCCCACCAACTTGTGAGCGGTGGGGGGAAGGGGGGAAGGGCAGCGTCCCAGATGTCCCCGATTTCCTTATGGTCAGTCTACCTATGGCCCCAATTCAGCCAAGTTTTTAAAAAACACACCTTACAAAAAGTACAAGAATGTTCCATTTAAATTAAGTACACTTCAGTATCTTATTAAAGAGAGATTTATATATTCTTACTTAAAATACCTTAATCTCATTTGGGTTAAAATAATTTCTATTGAGCAAGCAGCCTAGTTATAAGAAAAATATAAATAAATTCTGCAACAATTGTTCAAAGCAATAAGCTTGAACACTACTCAGTGTAAATTAAGGTTGCAGAATATAGCTTGGCATTCTTTACTCTCAATTCACTGGCTAAAACAGGCTCTTTCCATTTCTAAGACACATGCACAATACTTATTTTATTAAAAAGTCATTCTTGGCCCAATATTCAATCACCATTACATTTTATGACTTTCTTTGAAGTGGGGACATATAAAATAACATATTTTTGAGAAACACTTTGTTATGCCATGAATTTTTATTCTCTAGAAAAAAATTACCTACTGCTGACAATGGTTTTATACTAATAATGCACAACAAAGAAATGTAAAAAACCCAACTTTTTATCATGCATCTTTATTTAAATGTAATGATACAAATTGATGGTTTCTTTGAATTTATTGCTATCTTGCTTCACTCAAACATGTTTGTCCTACATATTAATGGTATAAACTGTAAATTTAATTTATGCTGTTCATTTATGAGACTCATTCCCTTTTTAGTACTGACTTTTAAGGAAAACCTTGAATTGGAGATTTGATAGGAATAATCACAGTTCAAGACTTAATATTGTTTTGGAAGAATAATGTTGCTCATCCATTTTTGTGGTTGATTTTACAGCACCTTGGTTTGTTAGCATCATTTATTTTTTATACAGATGAAAGATTGCAAAACAGATTTGGTTACTGCTTTGGTTATTGTACCTGGTGCTGGAGATAGGTCTGGTACTACCAGGCTTGAGAGCCTGAGGACTCAACAGACCTGGGCTTACAGACTGAGAGACTGGCCTTAGTGAGTATGCACACTTGGGAGCCACCCTTCTGTTCCTGCCCGCCACATATTGATTTTATTAAGCAAGCAGAAAGCTTCTTGTTGTAATAAGGTTCCACGTGTGGCTCTGTGGATGTTCTTTGCAGGGCCCCTGCCTCTCCTTTACCACGTCCACATGCCAACCAAGTATTCCAGGCCTCAGACCTGGTGTTCTTGTGAAAAGAGAAAAGAAAAAAAATACCCAAGTACCTAATGCCAGGTCAAGACCACCACCATGGTCTCTCAGTCCTGGGTTGGAGTTCACAGGACCTTCAACTCAAAGTCACCCTTCTGGTTTATGTAACTGCACTCTGGCCCCACCCATCTCCACTAAGCAGCAGCAGGGGGCAGGAGGGGGGCTGCATGACTGATAGGTCCAGCAGCCAATCACGAGCAAGCAATAGCAAGAGAAGAGGGCCACCAGGGCCCCTTGGCCAGAGGGGTAGGGGCCCCCTGCACTGGTCCACCCACAAAGAGGCTGCCCAGGCCCACATTCTGCCCATGAAATTGGCTGCAGGCACTGTTAATTAGGTAGGTCCCTAGTTATGAAAACTGCATCTATAGCAGTATTTTTTATGAACACTGTAATATTTGTTCAGCTAATTCTCTCAGTACTGTTAAGACAGTTTATGTAAGAGAGAGACAGCATCATCTAGTGATAAAAACTGGTGTGTAGAACAGGGGCAGGCAATCATTTTGAGTGGAGGGCCACTTACCCAGTTTTGCCAGGCTGCCAAGGGCCGCATGGGTAGCCCCGCCCCTTGACAGGGGCTCCACCCCTTGACAGGTGCCCCGCTCCCTGGTCATCATCTCGGGACCAACGTCCCAGGGCCAGCACTGATGGGGCCCAAAGTGGGGCTCAGGCTACAGCACGGTGGGGCCATGGGGCAGGCGAGGGGCCACTTTTCCCTGTGCTCAGCACCAGCTTGTAACCTGCCCCACTGCCAGCATGGCAGTGGGACTGGGTTACAAGGTGGTGCTGAGTGCAGGGGTGGGAGGGGAGAAAGCAGCCCCTCCCCGCCCCATGCCTGGTGCCCCGTGTTGCAGCCACTCTCAGCCTGCCTGGGGCTGCCTGTGCCTGCTCCAGACAGCCCCATGGGCTGCGAGCACCTGCAGTGCAGGGCGCTGAGCATGGGGTGGGTGAGGGACCGCTTTTCTCCATGCAGGGAAGGAGCCCAGGGAAAAGCTGAGCTGGGAGGGAAGCAGCCCCTCCCCTGCCCCACGCCCGATGCCCCACCCTGCAAGCACTCACAGCCCACGCGGGGCTGTCTGGAGCAGACACAGGCAGTCCCATGCAGGCTGCAAGCAGCTGCAGCACGGGGCACCAGGCATGGGTGGGGAGGGGCCACTTTCCCCACCCCGCACTCCTTCCCTGCCCGGGAGGGACCCCCCACTTACCTGAGCTTCCCGCGCTGGGACAACCACGTACTCCCAGCCCAGAAACCCCAGAAGGGGTTTCCAGCTGGGAGGCGGAGCTAGGCGGGCCCCGCTGTTGGAGTCCACTGGGCTTCCCCTGGGTCCCACTGCCCTTGGTTCCTGTCATTTTTGATAGAAACCAAGGGCAGAGAAATAGTAATTTTCCAAATTTTTTTAGGGGCCCTGCAGGCCAGATAGAATGGCCTCATGGGCCAGATCCAGCCCGCAGGCTGTATTTTGCCCACTCCTGTTGTAAAAGATGGGAAGCATGTCTGACACCAACTTCAACTTGTATGATCTTAGGAACACTATTTGAAATTCCTACCTTTTTACCCAGCTGTAAAATGAAGATATTTTGTATCTCCAAAGCTCTGAGTTCCTTGAATTAAAAAAAAAAATGAGCACAACGTGTCACCCTTTAATCCAGTGATTCTTAACTAGGGTGGCCACAACACCTTGGGGTACCTTGAGATCCTTTCAAGGGTGATGCATGGTGCCATACAATGTTAGCATTGTTAGAAGTGCAAATATGATTCACAAGATAAAGCCAGAGATTTCAAATAGGAATCCAAAAGCATTCAGACCTGTTGTGACCTTTCAGTGGTCTTTGCAACAGTAATATTGCTTTAGAATTACTCCATAGTCAAAAAGCAAGTAAAAAGTAAGAGCTGGCATTTTCCAGAGTGCCTTGAGCCTAAAAAGCTTGAGAACCACAGCTTTAATCTTATATAAAATACTTGCTTTCTTTTTCGCTTGTAAAATTCTGTCTGCCTGCAAACTAATAATACTACTTTACTAGCGTATTACTCTTGATTTCCTTTGCTTATCATGTTATATGCTAATCTCAGAAGCATAGTAAAATAAATATTACACCCAGATATAATCTGTTATACTACTGAAAACAATTTGGTTCCAATGTCCATTTGCTGGTTTGGAAAGCTTTTTGTATGGTTAAAGAGATTTGCTGAAGAATGTCAAACTAATTTCTCTGAGGAATCTCCAATCCAGGCCATTCAAGTCTGCTATACTGTTTAGAGTTATCAACTGCCTTTTAAATCCTGAGAGACTATCTTGTGCCATTGACAGCATGTTCTCTTAAATCTATGGGAATCAGAGTATTTTGATCAGAGAATACATGCCAAGCTGTCTTCCAGAGGTTTTCCTGTCCCTGTTGTTTCGTTTTGTTCAGTTTCCTTGCTTCTGTCAAAAATTCTTCTCTGCAAAATATTATAGGGTTTGTGGCTATAACTGTTCATATAACTAACAGGTTGGTCTTTGGTGCAATGTATTATTCATGAAGATGGGCTTCTGTCATGACTGACAACAACAGTAAGAATGTCAGTTCTGAACATTTTTCTAGAGGTTATCATATGAATAATTAATATGATTTCAACACTTTTACTTCAGCTTGTGAAAGTCATGTTTGAACTGAATATTTCTTCAAAGCATAGTGAAAATACCCTAGTGAAGGCTTGAACTACTACTGACTCATGCAGAACTAATGATCAGAGCTATATTAACTTCTTATTGCTGTAAATCAGTGATACAAGGTACAATTCATCATGGGTTTTGTGCTACAATGCTTACATAGATGCCCAATCCTGACCCAGTAAATAGTTTAAGTAGAAAACAGCTCCCCTGGCCCTGCCAGTGCCCCTTACTCCCAAGCCACAGCTCTCCCCACCCCAGCCCTGCTGGTGTCCCTCACTCCTGACCCACTGCCCCCAAGCCCCAGCCCCACAGTATATGGGACCAGGGTGGGGGTGTGGGGCATGAGGCGGCACGTGCCTCCCAAGATTTGTGCACCCACAGTGGGCACCGGGCTGCAGTCACCTCTACAGCCCAGCTGGCTGCACTCAGTGTTGGGTGACAGAGCAAGGTGGAGAGATTCATTGCTGCCACTGCTGCCAGAACTGCTGCACCAGCCATGCCACCAGCAGCGTGAGGAGCAACAGATGGGGGGAGGAGCTGTGCTGCCATCACCTTCTCCCACCATCAGCTGCTCATGTGCTGGGCCGCAGCTCTACACCACTGCTGTGGCCTGGCCACTGCTCTACCCTGGAGAGGAGGTGGAGTGGCAGGTAGTGTCATCTGTGCCTCTCCCACTCCCCTGACATGTCACCCATGCCCCTCCTACCCCCGCAGCCCATAGACTTACCTGTGGGTAGCTGCAGGAGCTGTTCTTTTTTCTGGCTGGCTGCCACTGGCAAGTGTGCACACACACATACACATGGTGGCCCCTGCCTAATTACCCTCCTTCTGCTCCCCACAGCCCCAAGCAGCCCCTTGCAGGCTGAAACTCTGCCAGTCTGCAAGGGAAAACTCACTATTTCCCATGTTTTTCTCCTTTAAAGAAGAATACATTTTTAAAGTTTGTTGATCCATTTTTTAAAGTTTGTTCATGACCCTTTCATATATTCTTGCAACCCACTTTTGGGTGATGACCCATGGGTTGAGAAATGCTGTGCTGGATCACACTGTTGAGTATCATTAAGCCTCAGTTCCAAATCACTTTTTTTTTTTAATTGGACTTTTTTGGGAACCATGTCATCTTGCCCATGAAGCTCCTGGAGAGGCCAGGAATTCAGGAGGGGTACTGTTCCATGCGGTCAGCATTCAGCCATGATTCTGGAAAAACCTTCTTCTCTTCATACTACCTCCTCCACCATATCCCCCCCTCCAAAAAAAAAAAGTGTGCATCTTATCTGAGGGCATGTGGTATGCAAGGGTTCATTCTAAACTTAAGTAACAACAGTAAATCCCTTTTTTGGATCATGTACATTTTTAGACATTGAAAACATGCCTGAATAATGACCAGATAAGCAAAACTATGAATACATGCACCCTGCTGTAAAGTAGAGCCCTAGAATCAATAAGTTAATAATTTGCTACACAGCAATTTATGCAACAGTCCATGAATAGATAAAGATGATATAAGAGTAAACTATTGTTGATACTCACATAGTCATCAGTGGCATCTTTTACAGCAGTAATGGTTAATACTAGTGCTAAAGGCACAATGGTAGTAAACCAGGACAAGGATGATATTTCTGGGATCAACTACAAGAAAGACATTTTTAAAATAAAAAAAAGTATAGTAAAAATATTCCAGAAATATATTCAATTTAAATCATTTCCTTGAAAATTACTAGTAGCTCAAAAAATTATTAGGTTTTTGTCTAAATCAGGGGTCAGCAAGGTTTTGCAGTGAGGGCCCGCTTTAATGGAGCTTAGGTCTGAGAACAGGACTCTTCCAACCTGGCCCATGCTGCCAGGGCTGGAACCAGAGTCACCTGAGTCAGTGGGCCAGATCCAGCCTGCAGACCAGAGGTTGCTGACCCCTGATTTAAATAACAGACATTGGTAGGCTAGTTTATTTGTATTGTTAATAGTTATCTCAGAAGGTTTATGTAGTCTGATCTAAATAGAATAATTTAAATTATTTGTTTGTCTCATAACATTGACTGAGCTATAAAAAACAACTGTTGCATCTCTTTACTAAAAGGCTAGAATATTATCAAATATACTAGTGAGAAAAAGGAAGTTATACATTGTTAGCCCTAAATTTAGGACTCAGATACCTTGTCCGAGGGTGTGGGAGGGGAGGGGAGAATGGGACCCAGGGGGGACCCACCCTCAGACCAACCACAACCTTTCCATTTGATAATAGGCAAACTTATTGATACACAGTGATAACAGAAAAGAAGCGGTACAATCAAGCAATTCTATATATCTACCAAATCGTAGGGCTGTCATGAAAGTCAAAGTTCAACTGACTAGGAAGCAGTCTTCATTCTGAGGCTTTCTCATGTGTCAGATGTCAGCAGCCTGGAGGTGGGATGCTGAGCCCCCTGCCCCCCAGTGAGGTGGATCAGACAAACTGGTAGTGTATCCTCTGTCCATGGTGGCCTCAGGGACCCTCCTGGGAGACAGGGACAGGGATCCCTCTCAAGGACCCTCTTGGAGAGAAGGACAGGGAGGAACACGGATGGAGGGACCCTTTATTACTCTCAAGCCTCTGCTTTTGTATTCTTCTTCCCTCCTGATGACTCTTGATCCATGGCTGTCTCTGATTGGTATCTGTGTTCATCACACCTCCACATAGCTCATCACATGTACACATACTAATGTTGTCTTTCCGGGCCTTCTCCTAATTTGGTCTGTTCCCCCGCTCTGGAACCATGTTAGCTGGTGCCACCCTATCTCATGGAACAGTATGATACATGCCCCCAGTTTCTCAGGTTGTGTGTATATCCGTTGAACCTGTTGTGTTAGACAGCCTGTCTGCTTTGAAGGCTGCATGAAACTGTGTGTGCGAGACCCAGACTTTTTTAGAAATCAATTAACCCCTGCTGCCTGTCCTGAACCATTCTAATGCATATACATATACCTATAAGCCAATTCCCAAAAACACCCATCCCATCCCAACAAGAAGCAAGGGGGGCAGGAGCACCCAAAAGCCCCCCTGGCTCACCAAGGGCATCCAGGAATGCCTGATTGTCAAAAAGGCGGCGTACAACCAGTGGAAGGGGGGTGCTATCTCCAAAGAGGAGTATACCTCCTCTGCTCGGGCCTGTAGGGGGGCTGTCAGGAAAGCTAAGGTGGACATAGAGCTAGGACTAGCGTCCAAGATCAAAGATAACAAAAAGTCCTTTTTCAA